CTTCAGATATGAAGACCCAAAGACCCCAAAACTTTGTTTTTATGTTTAGGTTCCAAGAGGATTGGACAGCCATGGAGGGATGTGATTGGACAGAGGATATGATCTAAAGGCAATAGATGGGGGAACCCAGCAAACACCCATCTGTCCAGATTCTTCTTGACTTTTCTGTGTGGCAGTCTCTCCTTGTGGGTGTAGGGCAGGACCCCTCTGGAATGAGGGTCTTCAAAGGAGAAGAGAGAGAGTGTAGGTTTGTCGTGAGGGGGCAAAATTGCGACATATGCAGTCGAGGGGAGAAATAAAGAATGTCCGAGCGCTTCTGCCCCTTTCAATGCTTTATTCATTCAATTACTCAGTACAATTTCACTTATAGGTTCTTAATCAAGAAAATGACAATCCTTAATGCTGGGCACTGCAATAGACATAATCAATTCACAGTAAACAATTCTAGGTTAATTAATTCACAGCAAACAATTCTAGATTAATTCAAAGCACTGAAAACACACTTAATCATGACAGGCTAATGACAGACATTCTTCTGCGTGCTAAGTTCAAAAGTCTCAAGCCTTAGGCTTTATGTCCAGCAGATGCACTCTCAGACCGCTGTGATCAGGTCAGGAACCAAAGCAGGCTTTTCCTGTCATGGAGTGAACAACTGGTCAAGGAGAGGGTCCAAGGGAGAAGTTGAAGCTCTCGCTAAGGTCCAGACAAGACGGTAGAGTTTGAAAGCCGTGAGGATCACGCAGAGGATCAGGAAACCATGACAAGTAGTGGGATGTCAGGTCCTTATCAGGCTCTCCAGCTCCAGTGCATCCTTGTTTTGGCTGGCGGAATCCCTGTTCATTATCTCTATTATTTATACTAAATTTGGGGGCTTTTGACCCCCCTTTTCAATCCTTATCAGCTACCATCAGATTTCTCCATGACATCATTTACCCTGGGGTCAGAAACATCTGGTCTGGTGGTCTCTACCCTGATCTTCTCCTCAGGCTAGGACAGCCTGCCAGAGGCTTCACTCTGTTATCAGGGTGAGGGGAAGTAACTTGTTTGTGGCCATACAGGAGGGATCTGTTGGATGTGCCTGGGGAGACTGCGGGTTTCAAACTGGAGTTTTTAAAATGGAGTTGCTTAGGCTCAGGCCTAAGGCCATCCTCACAAGGTTTTATGGGGAGAGGGGTTTTATTTTTCAAAAGCTACCTTGGAGAAGAGGAATTCTGGATTTTGTAAATCACTTTGTGGGGCTGGCAGAGGCAGAAGATAGGACAGGAGAATGTCAGAGAGCCATTGCTCTGGGGCCCTACCATTCTCCCTCAATTCAGAGTACTCAATATGCCAAGGCACTGTATGTTGGAATACTGTGTCCTGGGCCCTGACATAACCACCACCCAGCTTCAATAATGATCAGAGTTGGTTGATTATTCTGGTCCCCACTGTAGCCAACCAAACCCATTATGCTCTAGAGGTATGATGTGTCTAACCTCCCCAACCCCTTATTTCCCCAATTTCTGCCAGGCTCCTACCACAGTCTGTTGAGACTCAACAGAATAACGCCTCTCATGGAAGCATTCACCTTGCTCAGTTTCACATGCCCTTGGAAAAATAGGTGCTTCGATTTTCTTTTTTGTTTTGGAGACTGTAAGAACAGATTTGACTAGCCTCAAATGAGGAGCTCTAGATCCCTTTATTTATTCTTTCTGGAAATAGAGCCTCCAGAAATCCACACACTGCAAAGAGAAAGTGACTAACGCTTTATTTTAACATACACTAGCATTAGAAAATAGTTCTTAAAACCCACACATTAGTAATTTTGTGGAGAAGCTCAACAAAACCACAATCACCTGCAACTCCTTCCAACAATATCTGAGAGATTGAATAGTTAGCAAAAAAGTCACTGTAGGATCTACTTTAGGTTCCAGGCATTTTTTTTTTTTTTCTTTTTGGGTACTGGGGATTGAACTCATGGGCACTCAACCACTGAGCCACATCCCCAACCTTATTTAGTATTTTATTTAGAGACAGGGTCTCACTGAGTTGCTTAGCCCCTTGCCTTTTGCTGAGGCTGGCTTTGAACTTGAGATCCTCCTGCTGGGATTACAGGCTTGCACCTCTGCGCTGGTCCAGGCATTTTTAATAAGAACATCTTGCAGTTTTCAGAATTATAATGAAGCTGGTGGGGCATTTTCACCTTGTATATTTTAGACAACTGCTTACTGGGTAGTCACTTCCCAGCAGTGACAAGACATATAAGGTGCCTGCTTTCAAAGAGCTTATGCTCTAGATCAGCAATTAGCACTTATTTTTCCATGTGTGACTGCCTAGCACATTTCTAGTCCTGCTCATAAGAGAACAATACTGCACCCCCAAAACCCACTTCATAGGAGGGGAGCAATCCCACCCCCCACCCCACTCTCTGAGAACCACTAGGGAAAGTAAATTCACAAACACACAAACAGACATTGTGAGACCTATGATTTAGTTGCTGTGACCATGAACTAGATGGGGGAGAGATTGTTAGCCCACCCCCTGTGAGTGGGTAGTATACAGGCTGACCAACCTGGAGGATGAGAAGGTGCAGTATGAGCATCTGGAGATGGGGAGTATCACATGTGAAGGCCCCACAGTAGGTGAGAGCTTAGTGAACTTAAAAGACATGGAAAGAACTGAGTGGTGGTACATGCCTATAATCCCAGTGGCTCCAGAAGGCTGAGGAAGGAAAATTGGAAGTTCAAAGCCAGCCTCAGCAAAAGCAAGGTGCTAAGCAACTCAGTGAGACCCTGTCTCTAAATAAAATACAAAATAGGCCTGGGGGTGGGGCTCAGTGGTCGAGTGCCCCTGAGTTCAATCCCCTGTACCCCACCCCACCCCCCCAAAATACAAAATAGGACTGGGGATGTGACTCAGTGGCCAAGTGCCCCTGAGTTCAATTCCCAATACTAAAAAAAAAAAAAAAAAAAAGACATGGAAAGATGTCTCAAAAGATGGGCTGCAGGTGTAGTCCAGAGGTGGAGTGTGCTTAGCATGTGTGAGGCCCTGGGTTCAATCCCCAGCACTGCAAGCAAAATACAACATGAAAGGCAGTCAGGGGGCATCTAGAGGGAAGGTTGGAGAAACCTGCAGGGGCCAGACCTCCTGGGGCCTGGAGGATTGTGGTAAAAAAAATTGGATTTTATTCTAAATGTGTCCTATTGGAAGCCACCAAAGCAATTTAAGAAGGATATCAATGTAGTGATAATAGTAATGAGGAACAGTTAACACTATCCAACATTTGATCAGCTTATAAACACCCCCCTCACTCTCTCCTTCCTATATATAGATAGATATCCACGATAACCCAACATAATTGATGTGCTTATCCAATTATGCTCATAACAACCCCATGAGGCTAATACAACCTATACCCTCATTTTATAGAAGAGGAAACTGAAGCATGGAGTTGGTAAGTGACTTGTCCAAAGTCACACAGCTAGTGAACTGCACCAGTCATGCTTTTAAAAGGTCAGCCTGCCAGGTGTGGCGGCCCACATCTGTGATCCCACTACTTGTGAGGCTGAGGCAGCAAGACCACAAGTTTGAGGCCAGCCTGGGCAACATAATGAGACCCTCTCTCAAAATAAATAAAGAGACAAAGTGTGTGCTCAGTGTGCAAGTCCATAGGTCCAAAGCCCAATCCTGAAAAATAATACAATAAAAGATCAGCCAGACTGAAGGGCAAAAGACTGATTGTAGGAGTGAGGAATGAAAGCAAGCAGGCCTTGGAACAATCCAGGGAGCTGAAAGTAATTAGAATGGGGTCAGGACCAGAGAAAGACCAGTGAGGCACTGGCCTCAGATGCAAAAATTAAGGGGTAGCCTCCAAAACCTCAGTAATTAAGTTATATTTCAATATTCTGAAAATCAAGATAATGGAAAATTGCATTATGAACAAAATATTGAAGTTTTAATTAAAGATAATATGAGTGTTTCTGATTTTTGCTTCCGTGTGGCTGGGAAAGCACTGGCAAAAATTGATCCTTAGTGGAGTAGGCAGGAGAGGCCTGGGGTGAAGGGTGGTGGAAGCAATCTCTCCTGTTGGTATCCAGTACAATAACACTTCTGTCCAGCAGATAGGCAGCATCCAAGTTCCCAGTCACATGGACTTTCCCAAAGAACTTGGAACCCACTCTGATGGCACAGGTTCTCTTTGTTTAAACTGTTACGCCTGTACCAAGGACAAGATTCAGGTTTGCACAATTCTGAGAAGTGTTTTCAGTGTAAATTCAGATGATGAACTTAGCATGATGAAAAGATGAAAGTAGCAACAGCTGAAAAAGAAAAATGCAGATTTGGAAGGTAAAGAAAAGATAGTAGGTACGGAGGAGGAGAACGGGCCAGACAATAGGTGGGGGCACTGCTGATCTCAGTGAGGAGGAGGAAAAGGCCTGTTTGAACACCTTAAAGCATTTTTGTCACCGCTGGCCGGCAGGCCAGAGAGTGACGGGTTGTGTTGGCCCCCAGTCTCAGCCTGCAGGTCTCTGCCCAGAGAGCAGCCAATAGCTGCTCTGACCCTATTATTGGCATGTACTATATGTTCCAGAGTGGAGTCTTCCTGCATTTTCTTTGACCACTCTTAAATTGCTAACCAAGGCATGCACATATGGGGTTCACAAACTGTGTTAGATAGTATTTTGGCAAAATAAAGAAATCTCTAGAAAGTTTAACCTGTTGTGGCTGGAAAAATGCAGATTCTCTCAACAGTCAATTTAAAAAACCCAGAAGCGAGGGTGATTTGGATTCGGTCACACCCGTGTGGGACCTATGCTCAGTTTCCCAGGGACGCGGGGAAGAAAGTCCTGAGGGCCAGCTCAGCCCAGACTAATTCCGGAGGGTGACCTTGGCCTTGCCTAGGGCCAGTCGGGACTCGCAGGGTGGGGCACGTGCGCAGAGGGGCGTGGCTAGAGGGCGGAGCCAAGTTAAAGCGCGGTGGGAAGCGGTCTAGGGGCGGGGCTAAGAGGAGGAGGCGGAGCCAGGTGGGTGAGGGGGCGCGCACGTCGGGAAGATGGCGCTACGTCTGCTGCGGAGGGCGGCGCGCGTGACGGAGGCGGCGGCGGCGCTGCCGAGGCTGTGAGTGCAGGTCCCCAGTCCCCGCAGCCAGCCCGGGGTCGCGGACGGGCGGTTACCGCCACAGCCCCATTGGCCCGGGCAGCGCCTCGGAGCCCTCGCGGGAACCCCGCAGAGGTGGCCCGCTGCGGGTGCCTCCCCGGGCGGGCCTTGCGTGGACCCGGAAAGCGGGTACCACGATGGGTCGAGTGACTGGACTTCAGCCCGGGAAAACCAAACCCGCCTCCCCCCGCAGTGGCACTCGGAACGCGCGCGTCTTATGACGGGGTGGAGGAGTCCGAGGCAGCTCAGAGTGAGACGCCTCGTTTGCTTGGTTCCCCGGTTCTCTGACCTTGGGTCTCAGGACCCTTTGCACGCCCCCAAATTTGGAGCGTCCCAAAGAGCTTTTGCCTGAATCTTATTGCTAACGATATTAGAATTGCAACAAATATTTACAATAATTTGTTTTTAAAATAACAGAACCCTTTAAATTTTAACACAAATGATTTTTTTTTTCTTTCAGTGCTAGGGATTGAACCCAGGGCCTTGTGCTTGCTAGGCAAGTGCTCTCCACTGAGCTACATCTCCAAACGTGTTCCCCCCGCCCCTTTTTTAAATTAAAAAGTGAGAAGAGTGTAATCATTTTATATTTTCGAAATTTTCTTTGGCTTAATAAAGGACAACAGGAATCTTATATTAGGCTGTTTTGGAGGAAATATTTGAAATAAATTTTGGACTCTGGCAGATGAAGTAGCTAGTTGAAAAGAGGACCAGCAGGCCCTGTCAAAGAGTCTCAAGGACCTCAAGTTGTCCTCTGGCCGTACTTTGAAACCCCTTATCTAGCACTTGCCTATTTGTTAATAGGATGAACGTACATCTCTTTCTTTTCCCCGACCACCATAAAAAGAAATAAGTTGTTAGGTTCATAGGCAGAGTTTAGTTCAAGAAGCCAAATTTATGTCTCCTGCCTGGTTCAGAACGTTTTACTCTGCTTGCTTCTCCATGGCCCACTGCAGGACCCACATGGTCTTATGCATCCCACCTTTCCAGGGAGAGCTGCGGGGGTGTACCCAGGCTTTAATGGAGGGTTAATTTTCCAATCTGTGAAGGTTCCAGTGATCACACAGAGTTCATGACTTCTAACATACTTGGGGCTTAATGCCCAACACTCTTGGTCTTCCTTAGCACTGTAGTTTCACAGCACACCTACATACTCCCCACCAAGGCCACCAAAGAGCCTAAATCAGGGGTTAAATAATCCTGGTTCCTGTCAGCTTTAGAACACACTAGAATGGGATATGTAAAGAGCTGTTGACCGCTTACCAATGGCTTGATTTCTTTTTTCTTTCTTGGCACCAGGGATTAAACCCAGGGGTGCTTTACTACTGAGCTTTATCCCCAGCCATTATTATTTTTTATTTTGAGACAAAGTCTCACTAGGTTGCTCAGGCTGGCCTTGAATTTAGGATCCTCATGCCTCATACTCCCCAGTTACTGTGATTACAGGTGTGTGCCACCACATCTGGCAAGTCTCAGACTATCGTGTCAATTATGCTGTTGTCTCTGGCCATACTGAATCTATATAAATTACACCACCCTCAAGGAGGAAGCATAACCCTTACCCAACAGAGCCAAGATATAGTTGTGTGAGTACTAGCTCCTGTTGACATGCATATCTATAAATATTTCTATGTAGAACCATCTACAGTTATATTAAGCTACACATGAGTTCTTACTGATGTCTCTGACTCTAATCCATCACTACGTGGACCACTCTAGCCACTTTCCTGTGTTCCTTGGTAAATTCCCCCCTCAAACAGGAAGAAACCTGGCTCCCACCGTCCACCATTCATTTACTTAATTGTTCAATTCCAGTATACATATGTAGCAATATCAGAATGGTTAACCCAAATGCCATGGGAAAGAAGATAATCCACCGGAGTACAGTGTTTACATACAGCTTCTTTCCCTTTACTCTTATAGGCACCACTCATTTCCAGAGGTACTTAGGACAGTGCCCTTTTCTGTTTGTTCCCTTCATAAAATTGTTTCATGAATCCATAATACAAGTAGATGCTCTTGTCATAGGCTGCATGCTTTCCCAGTATTCTTCTACCTCCCAGATGATTTTTATTTATTTATTTTTTTGTGGTGGGGATTGAACCCAGGACCATGTGCATGAGTGTCAGGCACTCTACCAACTGAGCTATATCCCCAGCCCTCCCAGATGATTTTTTAATTGTAAATATTAACATTCACTTTCATGCTGTAAAGTTCTGTGAGGTTTGACAAATACATGATGTCGTGTATCTGCCATGACTTTATTACAATATCATACAGAATAGCTTTATTTCCCTAAAGATCCCCTGTGCTTTACTTATTTATCCATCCCCTCCTTCCAAGTTCCTGGCAAGCGTTCATCACATTACCATCTCTATATTTTGCCTTTTCCAGAATAGGAATATAATTGGAATCATACAGTATGGAACTTTTAGACGGGATTCTTTAACTTAACAATAAGCATGTAAAGCTGGGCATGGACAAGTTCAAAGCCAACTTCAGCAATTTAGTGAGGCCGTGAGTAACTTAGCAGTTACTCAGGACCTGTCTCAAAATTTAAACAAACAAAAAATGGGTTCAATCCCTGGTACCAAAAAAAAAAAAGCAAAAAACCAACACACATGTAAAGTTCCTTCAGGTCTTTTCACAGATTGATAACTCATTTCTTTTTATTGTTGAAAAGTATTTCACTGTATAGATGTACCTTAGTTTATTCATTCATTTATTGAAGGATGTATTGGCTGCTTCTAATTTTTCTTGATTATAAACAAACCTGCTAATATATATTTGTGTGTAGGTTTTTGTATAGACGTTTAAGTTTTCTTTCTTTTTGAGATGGGCTTTTGCTATGTTGTCTGGGATTGAACTTGAGATCTTGCCACAGCCTCCAAAGTAATTGGGATTACATGTGCTGATGTATCCAGTTCCGACCTAAGTTTTCAAATCAGTTGAGTAAATATCGAGGAGTATGATTGTTGAATTGTTTGGTAAGATTATGTTTAGTTGTATAAATACTACCAAACTGGAGCTGGAGGTACATCCCAGCTTGCCTAGCATACCTTAAGTCCTGGGTTCAATTGGGTTCAATCCCCAGTATGGTGGGGGTGGAGAGGATCACCAGTACTGGGGGAAAAAACAACAAATTACCAAGCTGTCTTCCAAAGCAGGAGTCATTTTACATTTCTACCATCAATGAGTGAGAGTTCCTGCTGCTCTGCATCTTCACTAGAATTTGGTATTGTCAGTTAAAAAAAAAAAAAGTTAGCTATTCCAATAGGTATTTAGTGGTATCTTGTTTTAATTTGTTATTTTAACTTGAAATTCCCTCAAATGATATTGAGCCTCTTTTGCTATCCTTATCGGCCATCTGTATGTATTCTTTGATGAAATCTGTTCAGATCTTCTGCCCATTTCTTAATTGGATTGTGTGATACTGTGATATAATAAGAAATATATATATCTGGTTTCTGTCCCTTTTTTTCTGGCACACAGCTCCTAAAACCCTTGGAATCTCCAGAGTGATAAGAGTGTCTTTTGTATGCTAATGAGATGACTGGTGTTTGGGGGGTGGGATGCTATCAGCTGTCACCCGAAAGACCAAAGCATGATTTGAGGGTTGGAATTTTAAACCCCACTCTTCCATCCTCTGGGGAGGGAGTGGGGACTGAAGTTTGAGTTGGTCACCAGTGGCCAATGATGTAATCGGTCATGGCTCCATAAAAAATCAAAAGGACAGGGTATGGAGAGCTTTCCGATTACTGAACACTTGGAGGTTCCTGGAGGGGGGTGTACATGAGAGGGCAGACAGCTCTATGCATGTCCCCACATCTTGCCCTACACGTGCTTTTCCTCTGTATCCTTTGTGATATCCTTTATAATAAACTAGTAAATGTGTTTGCCTGAATTCTGTGACCTGTCCTAGCAAATTAATTGAAATCAAGGAGGGGTTCTTAAGAAGCCCTGACATAGGGCCTAGTAGGTCAGAAGTGCAGGTAGAACAACCTGGGGCTTTTTATTTGTGGCTGTAGTGGGGGCAGCCTTGTGGGACTGAGCCCTTAACCTAAAACTCCAGGTGGAAAGTGTCAGAACTGAATTGAGTTACAGGAGACCCAGGTGGTGTCTGCAGGAGAAAAGAATTGCCTGGAGAAGGGGGAGACCCCCCTGCACATCTGGTCAAAAGTGTTCTGTGCTGTGTTGAGGGTCTGCAAAGAGGAAGAACACTGGTTCTTCCTCCATCTGACGGGTTGGCTGTTTTCTTTTTCTTTTTCTTTTTTTCTTTTTTGGTGCTGGGGATTGAAACTAGGAGTGTTCAACCACTGAGCCACATGTCCAGCCTTTTTAGTATTTTATTTAGAGACAGGATCTTGCCCAGTTGCTTCATTTCTTCTTTTTTCTCTTTCTGTCCTTTTCTTTTTCTTGTGGTATTGGGAATTAAACTCAGGGAGTCACACAGGCTAGACAAGCGCTCTACCACTGAACTGCACCCCCAATCCCTCTTAATTAATTTTGAGACATGATCTCTCTAAGTTGCTGAGGCTGGCCTTGAGGTTTCGAGCCTCCTTCCTCAGACTCTCAAGTAGCTGGGAAAACAGATGCACCACATGTCTTTATTTAGTGTTGGTTTCTGTAGCTTGATTGTTGTTGTGTTCCTCTAGTCCTACTTTGCTGCTTTCTTTAGCATTAAGTGAATATTTTCTAATGTGATACTTTAAAGTTCTTTAATAATTTGTTTCGCTATGCATTTCAAGGTTAGTTTTCAGTAGTTGCTCTCGAGGGTTCATCCATAATATATACTTCTTTAAATTGTGGATATGTGTATGTAAAGTTTTCCTTTTAGCTATTTTAAATGTAGTTTGGTGGCATCATTATGTTTCAGAGTGTTGTGCAACCATTCTCACTATGTACAATTTTCATCACCCCAAATAGAAACTCTGCATTACACAATAACTCTCCATCCCCCTGCC